TTTTTCTAATTGTGGGCGTATCATTTATACGATCTATTAGTTGTCTACCCGAATCATTTATACTATTTTTCAAACAAATGCCTGCTATCGCTAGAAAATTTGCCCGCTCCCTTACCTATAACCCCACCGCAGTCACAACGCACATATAAAGCTTGGTTGGTGTAACTGGTTAAATAATTCAAGTTTTTCGACTTTCTATCTCAATTGCAGTGAATGTGAGTCCTATTCAACGACGGACGGACTGGCGTAAAAAAGAACTTAACTAAGTCGCTTAGGAATACGCATGATGTGAGGATAGACAAATCAAATATCCTTCGATGATGGCGAAATGAGGTGCGCTTATTCCTTTCGATTCAAAAACTCCCAATCACCTTCTAATCGCAAGCAGAAGGAGACCATATAGCTACCTCTTTAGGAAGATGATTTCAAAATTATTATATGAGAAAGAAATTTAAATGAACTTCCCTTGGACTTTAGCTTTTCGATTCGAATTTCGTTTACAGGTATTAACGGAATCTATTAAATCTCCGTAATTAGCCAAATAGTTTTTATACTTCTATCAGTTGGTCCGATGTAAGAAGCATCAGATTTTCGCCCAAAAACGAGCACACTTCTCTTCGTTGTTTAACTCTTCAACTATACTAAAATGACATCTTACACCTTTCCTTACGCAAAACCACAATTTTCATACTATTATCACAGACTATAAGGTGCCAATGATAAAGCTCTTTAAGACTTTTCACTAATGATTGCTTTATCGTTAAAAAAAAAAAAGAAAAAGTGAAAGGGGTGAGATAGGAAGTCTACAGCCCCTTTTTAAAAAGAAATTTTCTCATAAACACACTTTGCTATATATACATATATATATATATATTAATTCCCAGTGACGTCATATCATTACTATTATTAAATCAAAACTTAATTCAGTGAATTAAGTCGAACTCATTGAGTCTATTAGCGTTACGTTAATGAATGAATGCATGAACGGAAAAGAATAAAGTAAGAGAGCGAGCGAGAGAGAGAGAGAGAGAGGGAAAAAAGAAATACATTCTTTAACCATCAATACGCTTATGCTGTAATAAATGCAAGACCATGAAAACTAATGCAGTAATGAAAGCAATTAACATGCAATACGATAATTAATTCTGTCTGCGTCTCATAAGTTGAGCAGTGAAGTTCAATGTAAATAATATCGATATGTTATATAAATATTTATGATTTTTTTTTAGATTTACTATGAAAAAAACACAGATTACTTTTTTAAATCGCCCGTGGAAGATGTGTGTGTATGCGTATGCGATTTGAAAGAGAATAAGGTATCATTCAATAAGTTCCAGGATTTACAAACGAAAGTTTTTTTTTTCTTTTCTTTTAACAAGTAATCTAGACTTTTTTAGGAAATCCTTCCTTCATTCCTTAAGTTTTATATCATCTCGATGAGAGTGAGTTAAGTGATCTACACTTTTGTTATTTTCCATATAACGGAAAAATTCGAATTTCCTGCTTTTTGATAAGAACAAATATCGTTAAAAGTGAACAATGACTTAAAAGATCGTATGTGACATTACTTTCCCGCCGAAAGCATGAATTTGTCAAAAGTTTGTTAATGAAAATCAGGCCATATAGATACCGTCGATGTTAAATAGAGTCAATACGCAAAAAGATGGTTCCATCAAAAAATCTTGAAAAAATCGTGAAAATTATTTTCGATAAACGAGCAGTGCAACTGCAAACGATTGCGGGCATCCTAGAGTTATCAAAAGGCAGTTTGGAAGTGAAAAGAAAGTTGGTTTGGGTAGTGGATGAAAATGGTTTTGCTGGCAGTGAAAAAGAAGTGCTTCACATTAGAAGCCTTTGGCTACAGTGGTTAAATTGCATGAATTGAATTTTCAATTGCTATTCCGTTCATCGCATTCTTCAAATGTAGCTTGCTGCTTGCAAGTCTCAAACCAGGTCTCCAGAGAAAAGATCAAATGAGCCAAATGATGAAAACATTCCGGAAATTGAACAATATTTTCGGTTTCTTGACAAATCGTTCTATAACGAAGCCAGGAAATATTAGAGAAACCTTGGACCGAGTAGACGAATAGGCAAGGGATCGCGACTCAATGGTTGCATTGCAGTTGCAATGCAGCCTTTAAATCCATACTATGTACGTTTATTTACATAATATATAGATAGTAAATAAATAAATAAAGACGTATTTTGCAAGGAGGTTAACGTTTTTTCGTACTTAGCCCTGAGACTTATTGACCGATGTATTAGGAAAGCAATTCAATTTCGGATATACATTTATTTATTTTTTTCGCGTTTATTTGAAAAAAAAAAATAATAATAATAATAATAATAACATGAGAGAATAAATATTCAATGGATTTTAATCTACTATCCTTCAAAGCAAATTGGAAAATAATCGATATTTATTTAAGGACGGAAACCACAGTAACCGCGAAAAAAGAGCGTTTCATGGACATGCTTAAATCGACTCAGAACTTGATGCTGATCAAGAATGTATATACGTTGTGGGGTCTCCGAAGCTTCCTTGTGAGCGTTTTGACAAAATTTGTAAATACAGCTTATCCTTCGGTGATGGGTATAAAAAAGAATGTGGATTGTAGCTCTTTTGTGGACAATTTTGAAAGATCCTGATCCGAGGAAAGCGGGTTAGAAGATCTAAAATCTGCTGTAGATATATTTTTATTATTATTTATTATTTTGTGATCATAACTATGTCTTTTCACCATCAAATATTCTTCCCTGACGATTCTGTTGCATCTGTCAAGGACAAAATTGCACATTTTACATTCTACGTTTTTGAAAATGACAGCGAAAACAGCAGGAAAAGTATAAATCTATGAAGCAGTTCACAGTCGGCTGCAAAAACTGCATCTTTAAATTTCTTCGCAGAACGCACTGTAAACTTTCATATAACTGTCCGCCTCATATATACCCAATGGTCGTTTCTTTAAGGTAAGTGCTTTTGCATGCACATAAAGATCTCGTTTAGCGTATAAGAAAAGTTAAAAACCAATAGCAAGGATATTCGGATCTAGCCTTTGAGTAAGGATTTATTTGAGTCATGTAACATTTTTTCGAAGCGCTTGGAGAGGAACTTGAGATTTCAAGGAAAACAATGCTCTCTCAGTAATGGATATTTATTCACATTTATTTCAAAAGCTTCCAAAAAAACGCATTAAGCCATTAAAGGAAAAAAAATTGTGAAAAATGTACAGTGGTTTTTAATTTTTGGAAAAATGTCCGCAATTTATCTCTAAGCGGAACTTTGTAGACAAAAATTAAACTTGGTTGCCACGCCTCAAACCGGAAATTCCGTCTTCGACATTATTCAACGACGTTAAGAATACCACTTACCTATTAAACCAAAACTCGTCTTGAAGATATATATAAACAATTTTGGAAAAAAAATTTCGCTAACTAAGTACGAAATAACTAAGGATTTCTGTTTTTAGACATTTATTCTATGAATATGGTGTTTTTTCCTACATAAAACATTTCTATGGGTCACAGAGATTTCTGCGGATGCTTTCATTTCAGCTTTTACTTCATTGCGTCATATGTTTGACAGATGTGTGAAAGGGGGGAAAAAAACTGCGAAAAGCATCTGCGGTAATTTCGCATATAATAAGGTATAGAGGCAATGATTTCACTTGATGTATGCCCTATTTCAGAAATGCGTTACGTCTGGAAAGTACCGGGAATATATATGCGCATAAATTTTATACATCATCCTTAAGCTTTATACAATCTCCATTGTAACAGATTTATTTGAAACGATCAACTTTTGGTCAAGTTCAGCCAGGAGAATTTTGCGGACCTTCGATAACTTCTTTATTTCGCTAGGCAAAGCGAGGGATACGATACTCGTTTGACAAAATTTTTGAGTTCAGCTTTAGGGAAACATTTTGTTCATTTATGGAAGAATTTTTCTAACCCAAGATATTAAGTACGTTTCTATGGACGGACTCACGAGATATATAATGATCTTTGTAAAAGTTTTGCAAAATCTCTGCTTACATCTTGTGGATTTCTTCTTCAGTGGACCCCGTTAATGTAAATTTTTTACTACCTCATAATACTTTTTGTAAGCTCACTACTACTAGTATGCCTGCGTTTGTATTAGATCATCATAACTGTAGGCTTTTTGACACAAAAATTGAATTCTGCTCTCAGTCAAAAATCGAAAATCGAACTCAAGCACAGGCAATACAGTTGTTGTAAAAAAAAAAAATAATTAAAATTTCTATCACCATACTACTGTCGAGAACGTCAAGCTAATTAGGGCTTTTGGATAGATGGATTTTGAGATGAATTTTAGGAAAAGAAATTTTTGTTTCTTCACTTTTCTCTTTTTCCTTTAATCGCGCAACAATAAATCGAGTATGTTACGAGTTCACGGAAAAGCATCTACATATATAACTGTTAGTGTCAATAAATGCAGTTTTTGAATTTAAACCAATTAATAATTATCAACGATTACGTATAAAATATTATGTTCGTAACAAGAAATTCTGTAAAACTCTTATGCCGGTGCTTGACAATTTATGTGCATTTCGCGGAACGTTCTTTGGGTTTGCTTGGTATTGCGATAGACGGGCAGAGGGTAACGTTTATTTATTAAAAACGAGACTTGAAAATGGAAATATAGAAATTAAGATCACCGTTTATCACTCCACAAACTCGTTCCTTAGCTAAGGTTGCCGGTTGCCTAGTTAAACTGCTCTGATCTTTTGTTACGTAGTTTAACAAAAACACTGAACCTTCAGGATATCAATATTGATATATGTAATGTTATCTTAATTTTTTTAATCCAAGATCGTATATTCTGACGTTTATAACTAATTAAAGCTATCTGTTTTGTTAGGCTTAATACTTTTTCACACTATCTAATATTAATTATCTTTTTTCAATTTTTCAAAGCATTTATGTACAATTAGTTCTCTTAATATTTCATTTTTTTTTTTTTTTTTTATTTTCTTTTACTTTTTTCATTTTTCATATAGATTTGCATTAGAATTGTGTTGTTCTGTCACGAAAACTAAAAATAAAAAGCAAATCTCGCAGAAGACAACAACAAGAAAGTGACAGACACACTTACGCATAAACGCTGCGTAAAAACTTCGATACATATGTGCATATATGCAAGAAAATCAAGACAATCTCTAAATTCTGCACGCACTTGCTTGCTTGTTTGTGTTTAGCTGAGCAGCGATTATATGATTTTTAGTGAATTTTCATTACTTTTTTTTTTGTTTGCAAATTTTTGAATTCTTGATTATTTTTAATAAATTAATTCTTGTTTTTTTTTTTTTTTTTTTTTTTAGCTTTAATTTATTTGCATTAATCTAAGAGACTTTTATATGAATAAGAATTCCTTATCACTTCCGTTAGCTGATGGCAAAATGAATACTTCATTTTCTGTCAGACAGAGTTCTTCTTTTGTTTTTATTTATGCATTAAACTTAACCGTATCCGATTTATTATTACCCATCCACTTTGAAATTTACGAACAACATATGTATACCCGCTCATGAATCACACACACCTTTCCGCTTTTAAATGAAAATAATGATTGAGAGGAGATTATTTTGAATGCTCTTTGCTTGGCATCGCTGGGATTGTTGTTATTGTAAAATTATGTTTGCTCTGAGTGAAATTTCTTTGATCACTTTAGCACCACTAGGGAATTGCTTGCATTGTTATTGTAATTTTATTTTACTCTCGCTGAGTTCTTTGAATACTCTTTACATTGCCGGACTCACCCGGTTCGCGTACAAATAACAACATATATAACAGAAAAACACACATACCCTCAAGCATAACAATATAACAAAACATTTTCTTTTATGTTTTTGGATAATAATTTCCATTTAAATTAAATTTTTATTCGCATTCTCTTAAGGAACATTACGAACACCTTCTCTTCCATTCAATTTTTTTTTTTTGGGATTTATTATAATAAAAACTAAAAAAAAAAAGAAGAAAACGAAGTTCTTCCAAGCAATAACTGAATCAACGTTTGTTCATGTATGTATGTTTAGCGTCTTCTTTCTCAATTTTCGTTTCTTCGGGAGTTGTTATTGCGTTTAAATATATTATATGCGCCTATGCATGTACATATTCATGTATCTTTCATGCCTTTCTGGTTTTTCATTGCGTTTTCATTGTTTTTGCATAGTTTTGTTTTTGTTTATTTTTGCTTTTGCATCATAAAATATTTCATTCATTTTCACTTGATAATACGCTCTTGCACCTTAAAATATTTGAAAAACTATGCACACTTAAAGAGGCTCTCTCCGCTTTTTACTCTCTTTCTGCCTTTGATTTTAATTTCTTAAGATATAGCGTTTTGAAATTTTAAGATTTCAATCTCTTTACTTAATGAACAAAACAAAATCTTTAGTTTTAAAGAAGCTAAGAGAAGAAAACTCTTCTTTATTTAGATTTATTTTCTCTAGGATATACTGACTTGCAACTACTAACTACCTTACATATGTATATTGATTTTGCTTTTTTTACTTAATTTATTATTGCTTTCATATTTTTTTTTGTTTTTTTTTTTTTTGCAAATTTAAAAAGATGTTTCACATACATAATTTACAAACTGTCATTAACGAAACGTGAAAGCAATATTTGCACTGTAATATCTGCCGGTGAACCGATCGGTCTCTACATCTTAACAAAAAAAAAAAAAAAAAGTTTATCTTCTTTTCCATGTAATATCCATAAGTTAGCAAGCCTTTATCTCGAACCTTTTGTGAAAGCGAAGCAAACGATAAAAAGTAAAAGAAAACCTAAAGTATCCCGACTACATTATCAGATTCTTCTTAAAAGTTTACCGCGTAACGGCAGCACTGTCAGATAATTTCTCTTCTTAGATAACTGCTTTTGTTGCGTGCATTTTGCAATTTATCTGCACGTGCTATTTGTTTACTTTTTCAACGTAAGATCTGCTAAATTTTGTTATTGCATTTTTACGTTTTGCCAGCACTGCCAACTTTAAATTGTTAATATATCACAAAACCCAATTGATTAAAGAGTATAAAGAAATGTTAGGTGGTTCAAGAAAAAAACAAAAAAAAAATCGAAAAACTAAATAATAACCATAACACAATTGACGCTTTTTCTATCTATCAAAGGGTGTGCGTCAAATTATGTGTTAAGAATGGAACTATATACTGAGATGCGTTGGAAAATTTTCAAGAGCGTTTGAAAGTGTTACAACGTTTTCTATTCCAGGCAAAGGTTTTTATATACATATTTTTTCCTTTATTTCGTATAATAGATAAAGTAAAGGTAAAACCGTAAGCCGTGCTAAAAACAATATCCGAATAGATGTTCTATTAAGACTGCAAATAAAGTTTATTAAAGATTTATAAAAATATATTTGAAAAAAAAAGATATACTTAGAAATAAAGTTTTTCCCCGAATGATTGATAAAGCTATATTCCTCTTTGCTTAGGGACCATATCAGCGTAGAGAATGAAAAAAT